AAAACTAGTCCTTACAAACCAACTATGGACATACATATAATAATACGAAAATAGTTAAACGCATTTTTAGTGAGGTCATTATTCACAGAACATTTTATCTCATTTTTAGCAATTGTACTAAATGAATTGATGTGTAAAAGTTTGATTATAAGCTATAATTCGTTCATTAAATTATGTAATATAACCGGTTCCTTTTATTAGTTTGAACAAGAAAAGAACGAAAATATTTGCCGATTTGATAATATCAGCTCGTTTAATTTCGGGGATACTCTTCAACTGCATGCATCCTAAATAAATCAATTATATGTTACAAAGGGGTTCCTGAAAATACTATTTACAATTATTTCAAGTTATAGGTAGAGAGTATAAGCAACATAATTTCAAAGATGGTGTAAGTAGACAATTATTTGGTGTTAAAAGGGTAACTATTTATATAGTAATTAGATAAGCGGGTGGTGTTCAGATTTCGTTTGGAAACAAGGATGGACCAGAGACAAAATACAACATAGAGCAACAGAGTTAATTTATACATATTCTGATGGAGATTTCAGGAGGGTGGGAGTGAATAGTGAAGTAAAATTATAAAAATAGATAAAATAATTTTATTTTAGTAGATTTGGAACCTCAGTAGTGAGTTCAACTCAGTAAGTGCGAATCGAAATCAAGACTGAGTGGAATGTTACGCAACAGAACAAAACACAAAACCACACGAACAGAAAAATTGTGGTTACCAAGTCGGGTAGTGAGAGATTGGTCACACTATCTTTCTGCATGCATAGCAAGGGCTTCTACGAACCGATTGATTATTTTGAAAGCCTGACTAATTTCCACTGTATTTTCCTTGTCAATTGAGTGTAAAAAGTATATTCACATTGGATCATAGGAACTAATAAAAAGACATCTGGGCATAGTCGAGGCACTAGCTATCCAAAAGCTGAGATCCACACTATTTATCCAAAAGAAATACGTCCAACCCTTGTCATTGAAATGGCCATCATAAACAGGTAATTCTTTTAGTAATGATCATTCCATCACCTTTCTTATCCAAACTTCCTGTTTATTCATGTTATGCTTAAGATTTTCTTAATCCCTATTAACACTACCATATTTTCATATCTAAACTTCCTGTCTATTTTGTCATTTTATAATTTCTGCATATTTAATCTCTTAATGCATAAACAGTTATTCGTCACATTAGTTATGATCCCACTAGATTGTTTTATCCAAACATCCTGTCCATTTTTGTTATTTCTACATTTCTAACCCACAATTACACAAAATGTCAGTCTTCTCAGTAATTAGGATGGTACTTTGTTTGACTTTTATCCATCCTCCCGTTTATTGTGGCATTTCGATTCGTAATTTTAATTTTATTAATGTGATCCTTAACCGGAAACTATTCTGGAACTTTCCCACCCATTTATCATAAATACACGAATGTACAGCCTAGTTGATGACTTCATCGAAAAGAAAATTTTCCTCGCTGCAACCGTTTTTTTAATAAAAATATATTCAGAAAACATTTTGTAACATATAATTGATTTTAATTGGTGGATGGTGACTCGCAGCAGAATCCAGGATGCGCACTTCGTGCCGTTTGGGACTCGTCATCTGCATGTACATGCATTTCCCAGTGAGTGATGAAGTTCCCACCGAGGCTCTAACCCAGTGCCCATAGTTTCAAACGCCAAAGCGTTATCCGCTAGACCCCTTGGGCCACAACACCCACCTCTTGTGCAACGGGTCATATTGATTTAGTTGAATTTTAGATTTTCCCGTCGATTGATTGGACCGAAGTGCTCGGTCTCAGGTTGACATGCCTGTCGGCTTCTTATGCAGATGCTTCGAAGATGTCTGGGCATTTAATTAGAATTTATTTTTTATGTACGCAGTTGAAGAGAATCCATGAAATAAAACGACCTTGTACTATCCAGCAAGAAAATATATTCGTTTTTGCTTTACTGAAAATATTGAATTATTCATCTTATTACCTAACTCGAATATACTTATTCAATTCCTCTTATGGACTGGCTAGATATTAACAACTATGATTACGACAGACAACTCATAACTTTTGATACTACCCTCTTTCGTGAAAATAAGATAGCAACGCCATGATGTTCTTTACCACAGAGAAAGTATGGGCTAAATTTGTTCGTTGTGCCTTCCTAGACTATACATCTGCTTTTGACTCGGTCCCTAGTGACATCTTATTTAATAAACTTACTGCAAGTCAAACAGAATGTTGGGCTGTTAACTGGTTACATTCCTATTTCTTAGAAAGAAAGCAGTACGCCGTCTATAAAGGGAAGTCTTCCACTTCATTACCTACTGATGCTGGTATCCCTCAAGGCGCTGTCTTTTCTCCTTTTCTTTTTTCTTTCTTCTTACATGACTTGCCTCACTCTGATGAAACAAACTTTGTGAAGTACGCTGATGATTTAACAGTCTCAATGGCTGTTAACTCCCAGCTGGATTGTACCAAAATAAATAGCTTTCTGTCGGGAGTCAAACTGTTAATTTCAGCTTAAGATGTAAACGACAGTTAAAAGAAGCCGTTGGTTCGCATGACAGTTGTAAGATTGACGACAGTGATGTAGGAACTAAATGAGAAATTAAGTATCTTGGACTTATTCTCTCTTCTGATCTCTCCTGGTCTTCCCATGTCTTAGCGACCTCCAGTAAAATATTCCGCCTGACATTTTACATTAAGAAGTTAAGGCACTCGGGTATAACTCAACCCCTCCTCTTACAGTTCATAAACTCTTGCATCCTACCTATTCTTCTTTATTGTTAACCCTTATTCTTTCCTGGTTTGCTTAAAAGGGACTATGTCACAATTCGCAGAATGCTGAAGACGGTCAGTAGGATGAGTGGTGTTCCAGTGGACCACTTAATTAACGTCGTTGTTGATAGGCACTTGACTTCGTGCAGTAAATTTGCTAAAGGGATTTTGTCTGACTTGGAGCATCCACTTTACCCTCAGTTGTCACCATGCATCTCCTCAGGTAGAACAAGAAGTAACTTCAGAAAACTGTATGCTCGCACGTCTAAGTATAAAAATTCTATGATACCATACTTGGCACGTATTGTATGTGATGAAAATAGCGTCAGGCAAGAATTGACTAACCTTTTTTCATCTAGTAAATAAACAATCTCCTCCATCCATCTTTATATACCTTCAAGTTCTACTCTTATTATTTCTATTATATTTTTATGGTCCTGTTGCTTCTTGGTTTTCACTTTCATAACTGCAAACACCAACTTATCTCTATGACTGCTGTAATCTTTGTTTTTTCCCTCACCATATCATGTAAAGAGAACATTATATTCAATATTTTTAAACATGCTAGGATTTGTATACCGCATCGACAATACTGTGTGAAACAAGCCCACGGCAATTTCCACTTGTATTATTATTATTACCTTAGCTGTTATCATTATCATTATTATTTCCATTTTATATGCTGCACGCTTTTGACATTACCCCTATTGTAAGTGTGGAAAATTTTCTGTGTGATTAGTTTTTATTTATAATTTGAAGAAATTAGATGCAATATTGTGATTAATGTTGAAAATTCCATTCTGTATCACAAGTGCTGTTTTTGGAATAAAGTAAATTATTATTATTCATCTGTCAGCTTGTTGAAATTACATTCCAAGATGGCAGTAAAGTTTTATCTACACAAGAAGAAGGAATATATCCGCAAGATTATGCCAATTATCATATTAGTCATTCTTTGCTATTGAGTGGAACATGAGGCCTCAGTGCTACATCTTGCTTTAACTTTGTTCTCTGACGTCCATTTTGGCTGGTCCTAGAACTGTCCACGACCTTTTACCCCGCTTCACTTGTTCCCTACCATGGAAATATCGGAAGTTCAACTCGTCACTCTCCTTTCAACCTGTACTCGTGGCCTGCTTGATGTGTGATGCCACTTGAATACCTCTTTAGTGTTTATATCCAATGCACCTCCATTCCCTCTTGCGTACTTTGATGGATAAAAGGTTCTTCTCTGGTTCTTTGCGCGCCTCCAGATTTACTTATTGTTTGTCTTTTCTGTCCTTTTATTACCTGACCTACTGTATCGTAACAGAGTTTATTGCAGTAGCCCTTCAGAAATGCTTCCAGTGTCCAGCGCGCCAATTTTCTGAAAAATAGACGAGCAGGTATGTGGCTCAAGGTTGGATCCCCAACCGACTCACTCCTGAATCTCACTACGCCGGTAATAGGACCGGTAAAGAGGGAAGTTTGGGCTGGGCATGAGGCTAGTAACCACACCCCGTAAAATTACACACCATTGCCATCGAAACTTCAAAGCTTCATCCTGAAGCCCTATGTTCCACTGAGGAGGAGGAGTAAAAAGACCGTTGACTTGAGAAAAGTGTTAAGAATTCGGATCTCGTTTCTTTCATTTAGTGAATTTTATTCGAACTCTTGTTCATATCTAAATTGACGCTAAACAGATACTATGTAACATGCCGTGTGATTTAATTTATCTTCACACTTTAGACCAGTTCATCTTTTTATCTTCCTAAATCGGAAATAAATAAACTCGTTTAAGTGATATGCGTGTCTGTGGTTCAGTGGTTCATTTGCTCGGTAGCTATTTGGATTCGGTTTCCAATAGAAACACTCCTAAAAACCAACCTGGTTCACCAGCCGCTAGTAAGATCAGAATAGTGGTAAAGTTGTATATGAGGCTGGCAACCCCACAGATAATACCGCTGTTGAACCTTCAAAAGTTAAAAGCCCTATGCTCCATTCGGAGAGTGAGAAATGAATAAAATTTGAACGACACCCCCAATTCGCTTCGTCGAGGAACCTAATGTCATCATGCAAAAGCGCCAGAATTCTCAAGTAAGTATTGTTCAATTATTCAAGCAGTTTGCTTGCCATTAATTATTTCTTTTCAGTTATTCAACCAAATATTGAACATTAACTGCTTGTTATTATTGATTGAATCTTTTTTGATTTGCATTTCCTTTGTCTATTTCAGACATTTTCTACATTACCACCATCAGATGTTTATGATAACATTAAAGGATATCTTGATAACAAAACTGAAGCGAATTTTCAATTGATGTGTCTGGAACTTTATAGGGTAGTAGCTGAGTCAAAGAATCATTCAATGGGACATGGACATGAAGTGAGTTTATGTCATAGAAGATTTATCCTTATCCATTATTAATGAGTTTTAGTTACCTTAAAATTATGTAATAGCAGTATGGCGAGATGCGTATTGTTGGTATTCGATCAAAGCGGTCTCTACTTTCTAGTCGACTATCAGATTTAACAGACTCGAAGAGTCTGTTTTCGCTACCCTCCTTTCAAACTTCCTGACAATAAGAGTTTTTAAACATTTAGTTCCATTTATGAATCTAGACAAATCAGTAAGAAGACGTAATATGTCCGAATCGTGTATTGTGTATTTGCGCAACATATTTCCATCGCATTGATCGCACAGACTTATCATACGAATATGCATATGCAATTATTAAAGAGTTAAGAGGTGAGAAAAAAAACAAATTAGGTCAAGTTAAAAGGACATGTTGGAGGGCAAAATAACAATGAAAATCAATAAACCAAACAACAGAGGTAATAGTACATCTACCCTGACTGGTATCAAAAACGTTTACCAATGAAGGGGTTTTAGTGTGATAACGAATTGTTTTTGAAAGCATAAAGGTGGTTTAAAATTTCTAATTGCCAGCTAGAACTTCCACAAACTTTAGGATACATCCCGAACACGTTTTATAGATAGGTTTAAAAGCTCTGTTAAGGTCAATTTTATGTCCTGTCTCTATAATATGTTTCGCAATAGAGGAGCTATGTCCCCTGTTCTCACCATTAATGGGTTCTGAAGGTCCCATTTGTTTCTGGAGCTCTAAAGCCCTTACTTGCGGAGATCGATGAGTCCTCCCTATATATCTGTGTCCACACATACATTCAAATTGGTAAACACAATAGGGTGTGACATCATTTTTCGCATGTACAAAGGTCTCAGATGGATATATCGGCCTCACATTCTCAGTTATTATGATCTTAGCTGCATAAATAGTCTTTTAACAGAAGAATTCAACGTCTGTTGAATTACCAAGCTGCTATGATAACCCATACAGGGTAGCTTTATATACACGCCTTACTTAGCGGCTAGTTGGAGCGTCACTTTGTGTTTTGACTACTTTGTATCTCCTAAAAGACTTGTCTGGATAATTATAATCAGCCAGAGTTTGTGTCAAGTTTCTTTCTTCCCCATCATGTGTGTATTCGGTGAATATTCGTCGCTTTATGAAGCTAATCTTCACGATTTATGTGAACCTTAGATATAAAATACAAAAAGACAGTAGTAGACAAATTGTGGGAGTAAATCCTCTAACCTGCTTCACCCTACAAACAAATACTTGAATATCGTTGAGATGCTTACAAGCGACTGGCCTTATTCAGGTAGGTAGTTACCTGGGGTTTCAGTGGAAAGTCGTGATTAGTAGGGTGCAGCAGATCTGGTGTGAGGACAAATGCTCGCCGAAGACACTGGCTAAGGGGTTGAGCTATGTTGTGTATTGGCAGAAGTTAGAATTCATGGATTGGCCATTGGATCGATTCCCAGTGGCTTAATGGTCTACGAACTAGCTCGCGTTATAATCAGAAGGTCCTGGTTTTGAACCGCGGTGGACTGCGTACGACTGAGGAGTCCCAAGCGAGGACTGAAGAGACGGCTGTCAGGCAGTACTCCATGAAAGTTTTTCAATGGTTCTCTAACGTATGTCAGCTCATATTGAAATCCTGTAACCAATCAATCAAATCCCTACAAACCAACACTTCATCATCATAATGGAAATAGAAATTTAAATGGGTCACTCTTTGTTAAATACCGTTCGTTTATTTTGAACTGTGGACATATATCTCGAAGGTTATATTTGTGATTCTGGTTGCAGTTTAAAACTCCAGCATTTCACTCTGTGCTTTATATTTGACTACAGGATCAACCACATGCTTGCATTTCCTCCTCACACGACCTCCTCCATTGGTCATCTGGATGCCTATTCTAGTTCCACTCAAGGACAGGCTTAACACGTGATGTTACCATACGGTCTTCCGTATCCTATCGATTTCAGTTTTCTTCGGCATATTTGGTACTCACTAGAATCTAGGTTGATTTGTTGCCAGACGTTTTGGTTAGTTTATCTTTCTAGCAAGCCATCTGACATACGTTAAGGAAGAGGGAAGGCAGTCAGTCATTGATGAATGTCCGCAGCAGCTTGTTGGAAATGGTTTCAGCGACACGTAGTAGTAGTAGTATTATATCACGAATTAACTAAGTTATTATTCTTAAGTCACTGAATTTTCAGCAAGCTTGGACTAGTAACCAGAAAGTCCTGGGTTCGACCCCAGGTAGGGCAGTGATTGCACACTTCTGAAAAGTGTCATATCAGGTGGAAACAGCTTTTCAGTGCTTCTTGGTGTTCAATGATCCATCTAATTGCTGTTGGTTTGCTACGATGAAGTGGATCTGAATCCTCCACAAATCCCATAATCTAAATGAATAAAAAGCTAAATTTCAAAGGTGATAGGACATCCATAAGTAGATATTCCTTTTGGTATTTCTTGTAGAATGAAGCGTAAAGTGAAACAAACTGATTTGATACAATGATTTCTAAATATTTTAAGTAGTGTTCTTGGAGAATAGTGACCTAAGGATAATGGTAACTTTTTTTAGATCTAAATCCATATCACACCCTACTGGCATCCTTTGGATCCTAAAAATCTTCACTGATTTTGACCTAATTATTCTTTCCTTCTTTCCTACTCGGGGCAGCTTCAACTTATGTAGTTCCATGCTAAATCCCAGTTTGACGGGTTTGTAAAGACTGTAACTAAAAGCGATTGGTCAATGATTTATTCCACTCCCGTTTGATGTTTCGTAATGTGGTATAAAATGCAAACCGACACTTTTTTTCTAAAATGCTGTCGTTTACGGTCACCTGAATTTCTACCCTCGCTACTAAGACAATAAACTCGGCATGTCAATGCAACTTAAACGATGTTAAATGATAGAAACCAACTGCTAGGGACTGTACAGTTTTTCTAAATGTTATACTGTCATAGGAGTCAGTTTTAAGAAGGGGCAATGCTAGTCCGAGATACTTATCGCCGGCGAAATACTCCGTATTCTTACCGACCTGCCTTCTTTTGTATACTTTCAGGTACTGAGCTTATATGGTCTCTGGAATATACGACCAAAAGGTTAGTTGGCTGGTAACTTTTAACCTGTATTTTTTTCTTTATCGATTCTTTATTTTTATAGTATGATATCATGTCAGCGATGATGTGGTGAACAGTTACATTAGGGCAGTTCACATATTGCACACTCACTGAATCTCTTACTTTCTGTCTAATGAAAATATCGTATTTTGTGAGCGATTTATACCATAACTAATCTCTGTACAAATCGTGGGCAAGTTTTAACCATTTGGTTATACAAAAAGTGGGCGCTGAGTGAAAAGTAGACTTCTATTTGAATTATACTTGCATAAACCTGAGGGAAATCGAAAGAAATAATCCAGAAATTTCGTTTGCTGAATCAGTCTGAACCCCTTTAGGCAAAGAATCACATTTACCACAACAAATATATATATATATAAAGAATCACCTTGTCTATAAACTTTTTGTCCATTTTTACCTGAGTGATGGGTATTCACTTGATGATCGCACTAAAATTGCGAATTATCAGAAGTTAGAATTCATATACTGTTGGATACCAGCTCAAGTGGATGAATTGTCAGAGTGCTTGGTCTCTGATAGGGTCATGGGCGTTCACTCCTGAGGAGTCTCAAACTAGGACGAAATAGCCAACTAGCCTTCCCTGGTTTTCAGTGATCTCTTTAACCCATTTTGATTAGTGTATCTAACGGCTGAAATTAGCTTACAATCTCTACAAATTCTATAATGCTTGGCGTCGTAACCATAAAGTCTCCAGTTCGATTCCTGGCGGATTCATGAGTATGCAGTGCTGAAGATTCTAAAAACTGGCCCCCCTTAGTTTTTCAATGATCCCTTTAACCGATATCGTTTCTTACTGAAAATCTAACATTATTTTTAAATTTACTGAGATCTATACAAATATATATAATTTTTGCATATAACTGACCTTGATTGACTTGTTTACATTATAGATTTTTTAAAAACTATTTTACACTATGTACTCAATGTTTGCAATATGCTGTCCATCAATCAACATTTTACAAAAAATATGATTTCAAATGTATATACATACATACATCAAATGGGTTGTGTAATCAAGAATAGATGCATGCAAGGAAAACCATGTGAAATATTGTGTTTCTATGAGTTAGTTCATAGGGATTTAGTTTGCTTAGAGTTGGATCACGGGTTGATATCATTTAGAGAAGTGTGAAGTTGTGACCAGCCGGGTTCACGATATTGGTTAGTGGCTAGTGGTCGTGATGTTGTCACGAATTGGCAGAAATTAGAGGTCATGAGATGGCCGAAGTCGAGTCCCAGTGGGTGAATGATCTAGCAGCTTGATATGTATTTGGAAAGTCCTGGATTCGAATACAGGTGGATGAATACTGCAAATGAGGCACAAACTAGGATTAAACATCTCTCCACTACTCTCAGGTTTTCAACGGTCTTTTAACGGTCCCCGAACTTAAAACGAGTTAAATCCTACCATATTAACTCACACAGCCTTCATGTTATACGAACAAAGTTGGGAATAATGAGGATGTTCAGTATTCGACAAGATGGCTTTGGACAATTCAAAATACATAGGTCAAAGTAGTAGAACAGGGGCAGTCAGACTAGCCGAGCATAAAAACCTAGCTAAATCTAGTTTAGTTGACCCGGATAAGATGAGAAATCTAGAGAATAGTTCAACTATAGCACTCACAACTTGCAATTACACACAACCATATGATAGGATGGGTAGGATAAGATGGCAGTTTTAACATCTAATGTAACAGGGTGGAGGGAGGGAGAGATTGATAACGGAAGCTTTGTTTATCGACTCAGCTACAAATACGTGTAACAGGAATGATTCAACACTTTTTCACCCAGACATCTGGAAAATTCTACCGCCCTAACGATGACAAATAGAAGAGGACAAAGAAAACTATGCAACTCAATTTTCGAAGTCATGTGATTATAACTGATATGATTATGAACCATAATTAATTGTGTTCGAAACTTTGTCATCCAGTAAATAATATTACTGTCTCACTGTTTGATACATCTAATAAACAAACTAATATGGAATTACTTACTACCACAGTGCCCAAGTTTTACACATATGCTTTGGACAATTGTTAACATGAATCAAGATGTCTGTCAGCAACAATGTCATCTGGTACACAACTAACTTTCAAAGTCCTATGTAGCATAACATAGTCTTTTTGAGAAGCCTAGTGAAGAATAAAAAGGAACAATAAAAAGAGAATAGATAGAATATATAAATTAATATTCAAGTATTGATTTGTTGCAGGATTTCATCATGAGCTGACATTGGTTAGAGAACCATTGGAAAACCTGGGAGTACTCGACAGCTGTTTGATCCCAGTTTGGGACTCTTCATCAGTACACACCCACCGGGGTTCGAACCCAGGACCTTCTGGTTCCAAGGCGAGCTCGCATACCATTAAGCCACTGGGACTCGATCCAGCGGCCCAAGCAATCAACCAAATCCCTACAAACCAATACTTGAATATCAATGAGATGCTCACTGGCCACTGGCCCTATTCAGGTAGGTAGTTACCTGGGGTTCCAGTGGAAAGTCGTGATTAGTAGGGTGCAGTAGATCGGATGTGAGGACAAATACTCGCCTCCGATGACATTGGCTAGCGGCTGCACTATATCGTGAATTGGCAGAAGTGGGAATTCATGGGCCATTGGATCGGGTCTCAGTAGCTAAATGGTACGCGACCTCGCGTTGTAACCAGAAGGTTCTGGGTTTGAACCTCCTGTGGTGGGTGCTTGCTGCTGAAGAGTCCGAAACCAGGGCGGAGGAAACGGATTTCTGGTGGTACTCGCTGGTGATTTTCCAATGGTTCTCTAACCAATGTCAGCTCATGATGAAATCCTGTAACCAATATGAATTAATAATATGTAGGAGAATTTGATTTATGCCAGAAAGTCTCAACTCGCTTATATATAGTGAGTCAAATGGAGGCCATTATTAGAAATTAACCAGATATGAGACGACCAGCACAGATTGGAAGATAAACTAATACCGAAATTGGCATTATTTGACTTATTTCCTAATACAATGCCATTGATATCACAAGAATCATGTGGTCTCATTGATGCGTGAAACTAATTAACTAACGGTCTGACACTAATAGAGATTTAGTTGTAGTCCATTCCAATAAGGCTATTAGTTAACCTTAGATAGGAAACTTTGCATTCTAGAACAATTTAATGCAGATGAGTTATTGAAAACCAGGCAGCACGACATAGCTATTTCACTATAGTTTAGGACTCTTTGTCAGTGTACAACCACAACCCAGCCAGGAGGCGAAACCACGGCCTTCATCTCACAAAAACAAAGTTGGGAATAATGAGGATGTTCAGTATTCGACGAGATGGCTTCGGACAATTGTTTGCAAGAATCAAGATGTCTGTCAACAACAATGTCATCTGGCTGAGTCAGTGGTACACAACTAACTTTCGAAGTCCTACGTAATTTAGCATAATCTTTTTTGAGAAGCTCAACGAAGAACAAAGAGGAACAATAGAAGAGAATGGATGAAGTATTTAGTTCGAGACCATTTCAGTAAGGCTATTAGTTAACCTTAGATGGGGAACTTTGCATTCTAGAACAACTTAATGCAGAAACAAAAATAAAACACAAATATAACTTAATATATAACCTAAGCAGCTTATTCAAAGACCTTTCTTTTCTTCTTCTTCTTCTTCTACTTTTCAGTATGGATCGCTTCACTTATATCTATTCTTGTGATCAGTGCAGTTGGACTATTAGGCGTTGGCGTTGTACCATTAGTACAAAAGGTATTTTACAATCAGGTTATTCAATATCTAGTGGCACTGGCTGTTGGCACATTAACTGGTGATGCTATGCTACATTTATTACCACATGTAAGTTTAAAAAAGGTTTAGTACAGATAATATTTATCCTAGAGAAGCGGGTTTTCGACATGACTATGGCTCGCTTTCAAATGCTTTTTACGAATTAGTCAAAAAATGACAACTGTGTGGGCTGTTATTATTATTCCTATAGGTTTCCATTCAGATAGAGCACAGAGCTTCAGCTGAACCTCCCCATTTCATCCTGTTGTCTACAAGTCTCTCATCTTCTCACCCTCGGTGACATGTCTAGCTCGTAGCTCTCAATTCCGGTTCCATTCGAGGGACTGACGTAGAGTACCACTCAACGACCTCCTCAGTGCGTGTGCAATCCACCTGCATTTTATCCAGCACACTTGTTGAACGATAGCTCCTAAGTTGTTCCGTCACATTGAAGAGTTCTTTGTTGTTGACACTTTCCAGTCGGCACTCTGACCTTCACCATAGGGTGAAGGCAGCTGTTGCTGAAGGTTTGCAGCAGTCTGTTGGAAATGATTTTGATGATGAGCGTCCCAAGTCTCTGAACCATATACGTAGACTGACTGACTTGACATTAGTGTTAAAAATGCTGAATGCAACAGATTTCGAAACTGACTTCCGAGTAATGGTCTATCTTCCTATTCTGATCCTGCCTCTAATGTCTACATTCGTACTGCCTGTAGTTGAAACGATGCTGTGTAGGTAAGTGCAAGGAGTGACGTCTTTTTTGCTTCTTTCTTTGATGATGACTGGTGCCTGTTGTCGGTTAGGCGATCTCATCACTTCTGTCTTCACTATGCTCACTTTGTAACGACAGAAGACAAGGGCAAGGAAACAGATCGTTTATTGAGAAAATCAACAGATATTTATAGATTTTTATGAACATTACTGTCAGCGGAGAAGCAACGTCTTCTGATTGGTTGTTTTCCCGCTGAAGGTTATTCTGTCATCTCCGCTTCTTAGACAGTCCGGTGGTATATCTGCTAATCGTACCCGCCCACGCTGAGTCCGCTGTGACTGGTTGGTGATTTCCTCAAGATTGAGCTTTGTTGTTATTTTCTTTCTCATGACCCCTATTTGGGACGTGAACATTGACGTAAATTGTTGTCCAAAATTTTGGCTTGCAGACAGCTCTCACCACAATAGTACTGTTTACTCTGGTGAGTATTTCAAACATTTACGACCTGCTGATTCTCAGATTTCTGCTAAACATGAGAAATAGCATTATCCTCGATGACAGCTTATCCTAATACACAAGATGACCATTCCTGAGTGGTACCCTTGGTCCACAAAATCTACACCTGAACCTTTTATAATTGGTATTCAGTCAAGTGTCGTGTATTTCTCGAAGGAAAAAAACGAAGAGATATCATAATTGTTCTGCTTTTCGCTTCAGGTCAAATAGAACTGTGTCACATGATCTACTGTCGATTATTCTTTTATTTCAAGATCATGGACGTAGAGAAAATATCATGCAATGAGCTCCGCTGAAAATTCTTTACATTACATAAATATTGATTCAGAATAAAGCTATTCCTATTGTCATTATTAATAAACGTTTTTCGATCATATATGGGTATATCTGTAATATAATCACATTACATTAAGGTCAAATGTTAACATAACTTCCCTGTATTTTGCTTTTAATGTTCACAACATCAGGCTATTAGTGGTGGACAGGGACATAGTCATGGCGAGGAAGCAACTGGTGAAGGCGACGGTGAACGTACAGCTATCATGAAAGGTTTAGTAGCATTGGGTGGTGTTTACTTCTTTTTCATGGCGGAGAAAATTTTAAGTTTAACTTCTGAATATCGAGCTGAGAAAAAGCTTGAAAAAGTGAGTTTCAAAATTCTGTTTTATTGTCCTTATCTGTAAAAGAATATGATATTATTATTAACCCATTTTCTATCATAGATCTATGCCTTCATGGACGCGTGATCCTTTTGGTGTATAATATAAATTGCCTTGTTTTTTATTTCAGGAGCACAATCCACTTCATATTTATTTCTTATCACAAAAGTCATACTTCACTAGGCAAATTTCTGAATGTCATGAGTTCTGTACTTGGCAGCAACTTGAAGGTTGGGGAACTTGCTGTTAGTGACAGTGGTTATTTCCGCTTCGTAATATATAGTAGCGGTCATTGAAATGTGCCTATCGAATATTAAAAGAAAACAGAGTTAGAATTTAAAAATGGTGTTCTATATTAGATAAGTTCATTTCAAATATCACACAGTGACATCCCCTGTGTGATCACAGATTTGCACAGTTGAAGAGTCTCAAAGTAGAGCAAAACAACTGCCCAGTAGACCATAGCTTTATGCGTCGGTAGTTTATTCTATATTAGTTTGTTTATTAGATGTATCACAAAGTGAAACAGTACGAGTCACTGGATGACGTTTCGAACAAAATTTATTGTTCATAATCATACTAACTACAATCACACAACTTCGAAACTTGAGTTTTATAGTTTTCTTTATTCTCTCCTACTTGTCGTCGTTGTGGTAGTAGAATTTTCCAGATGTCCGGGTGGACAGGCGTTGAATCACTCTCGTTACACGTGTTTGCAGTTTATTCGATAAACAAAGCTTCCGTTATCAATATCTTCGTCCACCCTGTGACATTAGATTTTAAAACCGTCATCTTATCCCATCTTATTGTATGGTTGTGTGTAATTGCAGGTGGTGAGTGCTATAGCTGAACTATTCTCTAGATTTCTTATCTTATTCGGGTCAACTAATCTAGATTTTGCTAGGTTTTTATGCTTGACTGTGTTCTACTACTTTGACAACACCTGTTCCAGATATCTGGAAAACTCTACTACCCCAACTACGACAAATAGGAGAGAACAAAGAAAACTATAAAACTCAAGTTTCGAAATCGTGTGTTGATAATTGATAGGATTATGAACAATAAAGAATTTTGTTCGAAACGTCATCCAGTAAATAATACTGTGTGATACATTTAATAAACAAACTAATATGGAATTACTTACCACAGTGCCGAAGTTTTACACGTACGTCGGTGGTTTAGTTTTATAATGATCACCAGCTACTCTTGGGGTCCCACTCCGGTTGATGGTTGATGCACTCCTGACCTTCACCTTGGTCACTGGCACGTAGTAAGCCCAGAAAAGAAGAAAGGCAACAAGAGGCTAGCGACTTCACATCGTTTAAAAAACACCAAGGCTAGTGGTTCTTTAAAGCTTGAAGCCCTATTTTTCATACAGAACGCAAGGCATGAGAAAAATCTAACTGATTGGGATGTTGGTCAAATGAAAAGTTGGTATTATCTGTCGTTTTAGAGGTATATTTTGTCAAAAATCAATACCACATGGAATACTATTCTACAGCATGGAGCTGTTGACACCTGTTCCTTCCCTGTTTATTCAGCGAAACCGGAGAGGATCACGTTACAAGACGATTTCATTGAAAATAAACCTCCTCTTCAACTCTCTGAAAGAACCAATAAGAATAACTCAAAAACTATCTCATGGCGCATACTCATATAAATTTAAATCCAAATAAAACAGCTAATTTTGTCATTAGGTGCTTCTCCTGGAAAAAAACTTAAATGTGATATAACCTTGTATATTCCTTTTGGTGACAGGAAGATCGTGAAAGAGCTTTACAGAATCTACCTGTAGCGCCTGGAGGTCGTCGTCTAAGTTCCGTAAGAACATCATTAGTGCCAGGTGGACACCTACCCGTCCCAGGACAAGGACAAGGAAGACGTCTGTCTCAATTTGATCCAAATATGTGTAGAAGAGCATCGAGAGCTATGTCTATGGCTAATGAAGATATACTTGTCACAGGATTAAGCAGTAAAGGTAAGTTAGGAGTAACGTATTTAATAAAGTATAATTATATTTCAATGGTTTACACACACAATGATAAGTTTTGTTATTGGTAATATATTTCGAGCAAAATTACTGCCCGTGTTAACACCCAACTGTTGGAATTGTTTTGTTCACACATTTATGATTTGTACTCATATATATAGTTCATTTTTTGTTCATTCATTTTTGTGCATTCAGAATTATATTCCAGGTTGTTGATAGTTGTGCTGCTGAGTCACCCTTGTTACATGTATCCGGTGTGACCTTAATGAATATAGATTCTGTAACAAGTCTCGCTTTCCATTTGTTCATATTATTTTTCGGAATACAAACATTGGCCCAATCGACATTGTGAATTTTGTCCCTTGCATACGCAGCTATCGATGAATTTTGTTCTAAATTCTTGTGGGCTTGTGTTCCTGTTGGTTGACCTCTAGTGAGGCGTTTACGTTCATTCACTCTTATTTTGAGTGATCTGGACCTTCGACCCACATATTTAGTCGGACAGTCAGCACAAGATATTTTGTAAATCACATTTTTTTTATCCATCATTTTTATGGGATCTTTCAGTTGATTTATTTTAATTTTAATTAGATTCGTCGATTTAATTGTTGTGCGAATGCCAATATTTTTAAGGTTTCTTTGAATTGCCTCTGATGAACAATTTTTGTATGGTATTGTGACTGTTTCTTTGCATTCTTCCATCTTGTCATTCTGCGGTTTCGCCCTCTTTTTTATATTATCTTTGATAAATTCTTTTTCGGTAGTTGTTGTCGAGTAGCACTTTGAATAGGACGTTTATTTCTTTATACTGGTCCTCTGATGTTGTTGTAAGCTTAAGTATTCTATCTGCAAGACCCTGTATTAATCCTCGTTTTACCATGAGTGGATGAGCTGAGTGATAATCAAGGAATCCTCCAGAGTGTGTAGTTTTTCTAAATAGCGTCGTTTTTATGCTACCATCTGTTACTGTTTGTATTTTGCAGTCTAAATTAGGCAGTTTCCAATTTCTTTCTCTACTTCCGTAGTGAATTTTATTGAGTCGACATGGCTGTTTATGTGTGAGAAGAGTTTCTCGATATCGTTTTTTTCCCATTATTACTAACGTGTCGTCTACATATCTCCACCAACATTTCACTGACGACCTGAATGGTTTAAGGGCATTCTCTTCCCAAAAATCGAATAATATGCCAGCTATTATTAGTGAGATGGGAGATCCCATAGCTACTCCTTCATTTTATTGGTATATTTTCCCTCAAAATGTAAAATATGTTGTTGTTGGACAGAATTCCACTCCTTTTATTATCTCTTCTACGGATAACTTTGCTCTGTCTTTTAGGCCATTATCTTCTTTTACTCTCGTTTTCAGTGCACTTGTGGCCATTTGACTGGGTATTTTAGTATAAAGACTGTTTACATCAAAGCTGACTAGTATTTCATCTTCCTCTATTTTATTGGTTTTTAGTCGTCTCACTAATTCAAATGAATCTGTTATTCTAGCTTTTGAGTTGTCTCTTGTTGGTCTTAATATTGTTGAGAGAAATCTTGACAGCGTATATATTGGTGTGTCTCTAGAGTCTAAAATCCGTGTTATCGGATATCCTTCTTTATGCAATTTTATCTTGCCATATATCCTAGGCATATTACATGATTTTGGCATAATTTCAAACCATTTTGACTTACCAATTATTTCTTTCATCTGTCTAACTACCTTTGCTGTTTCTTTCACTGTTTTGCTTGTGATTGTTTCTGGTGATTTCGTCATTAGGGTATAGGGTCCAGATTGTAAATGTCCATTCATCTTTTCACTATATGTTGTTTTGTTGAGTAGCACTATTATGTTTCCTTTGTCTGGTTGAGTAATGACAGTGGATTTGTCTGCTTTTATGTCTTGAAGTGCTTTTAGTTCCTCCTTCGTTACATTTAGTTTTTCTGCTTTTTGTTCATTTTTAAGGTTAATGCACATTGTGCCCGTAGCAATTCTGCTTTTTGCATGTCATGTCCTTCTAGTGCTGTTTTAACCACCGGTATAATATCTTCAGGTCTTAATCTTTTGTTACTGATATTGAAGTTCATCCCTTTGATCAGTACGCTTTCCTCTGATTCTTTTAGCTTTCTGTCTGGCATGTTTACAATCCAATTGGTTTTAGTTACTTGTATGTCATTCGTGGTGTTTGCGATCATGAGTTTATTGGATTTCTTGATTTGTTTCTTCATAGGTAGTTTCTTTTCGTTTTAGTGCCACTTCTAGTATACTTTCATACTTTTTAAACAAAGCAAGAACTACAGTTTTTGCAGAATAAAGTGGTACCATCTTTTATTTCGTTGCCTTCTTGTCAGCTGCTTACAGGCCAAAGGCAGCCTCCTTGTTCACAATGATTCCAATCAACGAAAATATTGAGATCATTTGTCAGCAGTCTGATCTTCTCCCACTCCCAGAGTAGGAATTCAAATGCCTACTCCGTATGTGTACCATGGATGTGCAGTTCCAAGTTGACAACACTGTTTACCACCAAATAGATGGTGTAGCTATGGGTAGTCCACTTAGCCCTGTCTTAGCAGATATATTCATATCCAACCTTGAAAGAACAAAGTTGAAGCATGCAACTGACGAAACAACTTCCTACTGTCGATATGTTGATGACACATTTATAGTGTGCAACAATGAAAGTCATGCTTCACACTTACTCAGATTATTTAATGATGCACACACAAATATTGACTTTACTATGGAACATGGAAGCGACGGAAAGTTCCACTTCCTCGACATTGCCATGGAACGCCCAGAAGACGGTAGTCTTCAGAAGTCAATTTATCGAAAGCCTACATGGAATGGACAATACTTACATTTTAATAGCTTTTGTTCAAATAGCTTTAAACGTAGACTAGTCAAGACTCTGTACTATAGAGCGAGAAGAATATGCTCTACTGAGAAATTAGAGGAAGAATTTGAGTTTCTTGAAAAGACACTGAAGATCCATGGGTACCCTCAAAGGTTCATCAACAAGTATGGAAGATCTAAAGTCACAAATGTAGAACAAATCACAGTAAGAAAAAAGCCAATCTACTTTGAGCTTGATTATAAAGGCGAAAACATTGCAGCAATGATCAACAGAAGGCTGAGTAGATCACTAGCCATAGCCTACCCTGCAGCTAAGCTCGTTCTCGTCTTTCGAACAACTTGCTCTCTGGTGCAATCAAAAATCGATAGATATCCTTCTCATGTTAACTCCAACTGTATATACAAATTTACATGTATTTGCGGTAGCAGTTACATTGGAAGAACAGAAAGAAGGGCGTATCTACGATTTTCTGAACATGTACCAAAAGTTTATGTTTAAAGGGAACAAATGCTTTAAACAGTGCCATCGCCAGGCATCTCCTCCACACGGGTCATGAGGTCAACGTCGAAAAGTCGTTCAAAATTATCAATAGACAAAAGAGCTCAAATTCTCCTCAAGTTTGCTGAAGCGATCTCTATCAAGCGCCTGAAACCTGATTTATGCGTTCAGAAAGAAGCGATTATCAGTCTTTCTTTGTCCTGGTAACTGGATATTTTCATCTCTCTTTCATCCGAATGCGAAATGCTGAAAAGTTTCCATTGTATATGATCACTATTGTTCGGAATAGTGTTTATTATTACATACATATATAGACTATCACTCTATGCATATACTGATCGATTAATTTTTGTTTAAAAATGAACTCTATCGAAGTATGTTAAAATTGCTTTTGTAGATACATTTAATAATGTCTTTGGCCTGTAAGCAGCTGACGAGAAGGCAACGAAATAAAAGATGGTACCACTTTATTTTGCAAAAACTGTTGTTCTTGCTTTGTTCAAATTCAATAAGGGGAATAAATGTATGAAATTTCATACTTTTCCATTTCAATTGCTCCTTTCAATTTTTCTTTTGCTTCATTAATACCTTTCTTTTTGTAAATAACTTTTGCAGAATACCATGTAGGTTTTTTTGTGTGAGCGCTGTATTTTCTTCAGTAGTACATATATAGGTGATTTTAATCTCATGTATACGTATTTATTCTACACTAATACCAATCCTAAGAACTTGAGATAGTACACAGTTCTGAATCATGCGATTGATTATCAGATATGCGTCAAATGTTCCCTCACCTTCCATCTCCATCTTTCTGAGCATATTTATTGTGTGGTAGGTTCTTGGTTCTTTCGTCACACTGTAGAATTAGTTCCTTGTTGCTTATCCTAAGCAGCATTATTTAGCCGGTGAAAGCAGGTATTAACGAAGGTCTCAAGTAGTCTGTTGCAGGTGCTTTTCATAACGCTCTGTCTCCGAACCACACACGGAAGCAGGCAGCAGCTGTACTTTCCCTCTTATTTTCCAGTTCTATCTGAGTAAATGTTCACCGCGTTTTTTTATTGTTTTATACAGCTATGAAATCAATCGACATACTTTATAGTTATGCCGAGGAATATGATGAAATGACAAGAAGATGTTCAGAGGATTCTACCGCGGATCATCCATTAGTTAAAAGTGAATTACAACTGGGCAATCGTGGAATAAAGCCTAAACAAGCCAGTGAAACAACTTTATCAACTAAAGATGATAGTCAACACGATAGTCAACAATCTCAACAAGTCAATACATTAACAGTTAATGTTCCAAAGATTACAATCGATGTAGAACAAGACGATGAGAAACGAGTGGAATCAAAATTGAAGGTAACTGAAAAACAAAAGGTGGGTTTGGTGTTCATTACTTATGTGTGTGTGAAGGGAGGTGCTGAGAATAGGATGTTCTTTCTGTCCCTTTCTGCAGAATCTTTATCACAGTGACTGACGGTGATCTTAATGATACTAGGAAGTATTACTCTTGAATATTTTTCGCCAAAATGTCAGCCACAAGCGTGTAAAGACATGAGAATTGTCTTCTGTGCGATGTTGCTCAATTAATTTCATTTATTTGTGCTTTCAGTTTTCTTTCGTTGTATCTATTAAACCTGGCTGTTCAGTCTGTTTTCCATGGATTCCATTCAAATAGATCCGTGGTAAGCAGTGCTCTGACGTTTGAGAAATGAGGCCCTGAAAACCTTCTTCATGATACGCTAATAAGTGAGCTGAGCAGTTTAAAATTAAACAAGACTCGTGTTCCAATTCCAATCAGATGTCTAAGCAAACAGCGCATTTTTGATTGGACACTAGTAAGTAACTGGTGTAATGTGTGTGTGTCTGGTGCGTCTGGTCCTGTAGTTGGCGCAGACTGAATTCTATCAATCACGTTGACAATGTGGCCACAATGCTAGGAGGTTGGAGGCAATTGACAGGTAGCCCCGCTTGACCTAGGTTTCGTGCTAGTTTGCACTGACCAGTCAGCAAGGCGTATCTGCAATCTTGAAGGAACTCATGTCCGCCCTGATAGAATTTAGTCTGCACCAAACAAAGAACCAGACACATTACACTAGTTACTGACTAGTTTTCATTCAAAAGTATCCACTACAGTCCTACAGGAGATCAGTCGTAAGGCTGAATGTTTATGATTGCAGCAATGGGTGACGTGGGTTCGAATCTCAGAAGGGAAATGAGTTCCTTCAAGTTTGCAAGTAGGTCTTGCTGACTGGTGAGTACCAGCTAGCATGAAACCTAGGTGGAGTGGGGCTTCCTGCCGATTGCCTCCAGCACATTTATATAAATTGTGGTCAAGATTTGAGAGAATATTTCCACAAATATGGAGTGCCTAGGGAAAATTAGACATCTGTGAAAATCATATATGCAAATCTTAGCGAGATAGAAAAAGATGACTCTTAGGTTTCGCTTGGAGGAATAATCCAAATGTTACCAGGGAAACTGTCAAAATTAGAATATCAAAGGTCTTATCTCGATCAGAATTCCTAAATTATTTCACAATCCTATTAAATTGTCGAACAAACTATGTAATTTAATTCTTTTTCAGATTTCCCCGTCTGTTGATTGGACCAAAGTGCTCCGTCTCAGGTTGACATGTCGGCTTCTTGTGTAGGTACTTCGATGATGTCTAGGCATGTAATAAGAAGTTAATTGGTGGATGGCGACTAGCAGTGGAATCCAGGATGTACATTTTGCCCCGTTTGGGACTCGTCAACTGAATGTACCTGCATTCCGCAGTGAGTGATGATGTTCCCACCAAGGCTCGAACTCATTACACGTAGTTTCAAACGCCCCCCTGTGTTCGAGCCTCGGTGGGAACATCATCGCTCACTGCAGAATACAGGTACATCCAGATGACGGGTCTCAGGTAGGACTAAATGTATATTCTGGATTCCACTGCTAGTCACCGTCCACCAATTAAACAAGGTAACTGGTACCATCAGATCGCGTTCCCAATCTCCGTT